ACAAGCAGTGTACTATCTTCTGCTTTCGCTGGGAAGAGTAATTCAAAGACTGTGCAGTGGATTTCAAAATGTACGTGTTTTGAGAACCAGTATCAATTAAAACACGAACTAAGCGTTGGGAACCACTGCCACCGATCAAGTTTACTCGCAGAGTTTGCAAAAAAATGTGGGTACTGGAGGTATTTGTACAAGTTACAGTTCCCGAAGCCGCCTTGTCATCAGCGCGCCCATTTTCTTTCTTCTTTGATTCGGGAATCTCTTGCTTCCTTTTGTGAGCGGGTAAATCAGGACACAGAGCAAAATGCTCTCTGTTACATAAAATGCCCTTCAGTCGAAGCTTGCACTTGCGCGACTGGTGCCCCACCTTTAAACATCGAAAGCAAGCTTTCTTGGAACTTAACATGTTCCGTTTCTTCTCTAAGGTAAAACTTTGCTCTTTGAAGCAAGTCTGACTAGCGTGCTCCCCGTCGCAAAATATACACTTCGCAGAATCGCAATTTAGTAAACCTGTCGCGGTAGGAACAACCGAATCAACAGAGTTCAACGCACAACGTCTATCTCCCATTCCGCGACCCGAACCTTTCTGACCTCCTGTGGATCGCAAACCGAAACTCTCAGATGCTAGGGAGATCTGCTGCTCGTTCTCAACTTCGTTTTGCAAAAACTGCATGAGACAATCTAATCTTTTCTCCAACGGTTCCCGCGAATTATCCGGTTTACCGAATGGTGAACGTTGCCACGCCCGTATTAAGTCCACAGGCAAGCAAGGTTCGATGAGCGGATAGAGCATAGCCGCACATTTGTCAGAGGTTATGCCCAATGTCTCTAATGCACGCAACTGTGTCTCGATCTTATCATAAAGCGACGACAACTCCATTTTTTCCCGCGACACTGCGTTATCTAAAACCAACTTCAGCAAACCGCGAACATAAACCTCGATTTGCAAGTATTCACGATCGAATCGCGACGTTAAAGAGTTCACAATGTTGCTATAATTATCCCCTACAGCCGGAAAACTTTCTACCAACCGTCTAGCCCTACTGCCTGCTACGGTAGCTTGTATCAAATATTCAACTTTATCATTTAAGTCGATATCGTTGTCTTCATGTACTTTCCGGAACTGGGACCAGAAGAGCAGCCAGTCTCTCACATTGCCGTCAAATTTCTTAAACTCTATAGTAGGTAAGGTAAATTTGCGTTTACCTCTTACACCAACTGAGCCATTACCCCCTGATACATGAGATTGTGCATCTTCCAAAGCAGCTGTAACTAATCTGGAGCAATACTCTTCACACTTTACATTTAATAAAGCAAATCTTGACTTATAGGCCTCGGTTGCCTCTAATTCAGCCACTAGTTCCTCTTCAGTAGCATTCTCCATCAACAAGTCAAAAATCTCAAAGTCGATTGTTCGGAGCTGCTCTGTTTTTTCTTGTAGAAGATCCTAGGACACCCTCACGGCGTCCACGTGACTGTCCGTCAAAATATTCTCCAACTCGTTCGCATTTTTCGTAAACACCGTGCGAAGCACCTTCCTGTGTTTCCTTTTCTGGTTAAGAACCATCTCGGAACAAACAGAAGCCGTAAAAAAAAGAGTCGCCACGACAAACCGTTCAAAAACAGCTAACGTTTGCCAAACGGTGCCAGCACGTAGCTAAAGTTTGTCTATGACCTTTGACGGGAACTTACGACCGCCCGTCTTCCAACTCAAATCCGACAAAAAGCCGCAATCCGTCCTGTCACGGTCGCCACAATATGTTGCGTATACCCGCGATAAACTAGCCGTTTAACGTAGATATACTTCGATTTGGTTACGGTTATTTTTGGTACAGCAAAAATGTAAGGATACTAAAAACGACCCTTTTCACATAACATAACCTCTATTTCGACGCATTCGTCTTCTTGACTAAACCGCCAAACCGCGCTGTTGCCAGCTTATGAAATAATCCTAACAGCAAAGAAAATACAAGTGGCCAAGCCATTCTTCAGTAGCATTCTCCATCAACAAGTCAAAAATCTCAGGGTCGATTGTTCGGAGCTGCTCTGTTTTTTCTTGTAGAAGATCCTAGGACACCCTCACGGCGTCCACGTGACTGTCCGTCAAAATTTTCTCCAACTCGTTCGCATTTTTCGTAAACACCGTGCGAAGCACCTTCCTGTGTTTCCTTTTCTGGTTAAGAACCATCTCGGAACAAACAGAAGCCGTAAAAAAAAGAGTCGCCACGACAAACCGTTCAAAAACAGCTAACGTTTGCCAAACGGGGCCAGCACGTAGCTAAAGTTTGTCTATGACCTTTGACGGGAACTTACGACCGCCCGTCTTCCAACTCAAATCCGACAAAAAGCCGCAATCCGTCCTGTCACGGTCGCCACAATATGTTGCGTATACCCGCGATAAACTACCCGTTTAACGTAGATATACTTCGATTTGGTTACGGTTATTCTCGGTACAGCAAAAATGTAAGGATACTAAAACGACCCTTTTCACATAACATAACCTCTATTTCGACGCATTCGTCTTCTTGACTAAACCGCCAAACCGCGCTGTTGCCAGCTTATGAAATAATCCTAACAGCAAAGAAAATTCAATGCAATGTTCGCGACATCCTCCCACCCGAGACTCGTCCTAAACATTACAATAGGGTCTCGAACTAAAACATAAAGCCTTAACCCAAAAAAATCAGCCATGTAAAGCTTAAGAACTCTTAACTATAAATATCGTTTGGGGATTTGTGTCACTCGTAGTCGCACTAACTAGTGTGTCGGGTACTCCGTCTTTTTTCGCTCCCGATTCTTTTCCCGTACCTTCCCGATCTACTTTACGCACTGACACTTTTGGTCTAAGTTGAGCGAAGTTCTCAACTTTGGCCACTGTGCCATCAATCAATGTTTTGCAGACCTCTTCTGGATGCTTTGCCTCCTCCAGTCCAGTCCCCTCTAGGCTGACAAGACGCTGAATTGGTCGCATTACTTGCCCCTTCTCAGTATTCACCTTTACTAGCCGAACTTGCCCATCTTTGCCAGGAATCAACTCTATCACTCGACCAAGTGGCCAAGCCATTCTTCAGTAGCATTCTCCATCAACAAGTCAAAAATCTCAGGGTCGATTGTTCGGAGCTGCTCTGTTTTTTCTCGTAGAAGATTCCAGGACACCCTCACGGCGTCCACGTGACTGTCCGTCAAAATTTTCTTCAACTTGTTGGCATTTTTCGTAAACACCGTGCGAAGCACCTTCCTGTGTTTCCTTTTCTGGTTAAGAACCATCTCGGAATAAACAGAAGACGTAAAAAAAAGAGTCACCACGACAAACCGTTCAAAAACAGCTAACGTTTGTCAAACGGGGCCAGCACGTAGCTAAAGTTTGTCTATGACCTTTGACAGGAACTTACGACCGCCCGTCTTCAATAACGTCAAGAGGGAGGATATGAGAATTCGTCAGATGATGACGAATATTATTCCTTTTTATGATTAAATTTCTTAATAACATAAAATATATATTTTTTTATCTATCAGGATGTGCGGTCAATAAAAAGAAAGAATTTTGCACCCTCCTCCCCCCCTTCCAGTTTACTCATGAAGAAATAGAAACAAAGTATACATTTTGTAAAATTTATTAGAAAAAAAACTTATTATCTTTATATACAAAAAATGTTAATGCCTAATAATTTGTTAAAACCACCTATTGTACAAAAGAAAACTTATTTTGACAACTTAAATTCTCATTGCACCTTGTAATCATGGCTGATTTCAAAGTGCTCACATTAAGTTGACTTTTTCGCTGCTCCAACAGTTGTTTATAATTGAAAATAGTCTTTCTTCCTTTGCATTAGAACCGGAGGCAGAGCGCAAACTCAACTATCAAAGGTATGTTTGTAAACCCAAATTGCTTTTTTGTACAATTATCAAAAACTTCAAACCATCGGAAAAAAACATTGATATCTTAGCTTGCCAATCTTCCAACTTTTCATTGGTTACAAATTCCTTTGTTTAGAATATTTCGTCGAATAGTTCATCTTCATTTATTGTTTCATTAATAATAAAACAGTTTTTATTGCGGGTTGAATTTGTGACTAATGTGGTATGTTTTGAAGTAATACCTGAAGTGGATCAGGGATCGGGGTTTGCCAAAACAATTGAGAAGACGGTTTTGACAACATCATTTATTTCCATACTTGCAATTTACACTAATACAAATTGACATAGTACAATCGGAAACTATTAGACGCATAGCTCACTCATCGGGAGCTTGTTGCCGTCTCGCCTCACGGCATCCTCACAAAAACCCCTCAATCGGTTAGCGTGACCAAAGCACTGTGTGCTGCTAATACCAATTTTATGTTGATTATGTTATGTTAATTAAACATTCACTGAATTGAACTGAGGTTTCGCCAGGTAAATCTTTCAGTTCTAAAACTTTTAGTTGCATCCCAGTTGTAGGCCAAAAATATCTAACAACAATGGGTACAAGTTTTGTATTTTTATAGTTTGACGTAATACTGCAAACAGTATACCTTTTGCCGACATAATGCGAACTACTCCGAATACTGGAATACCGATTGAGTCTCTACCGATTTATCGATCCGATTAATTGTTGTGTAAAGTATTAAACTGTCTCCATGTGAGACTTTATACGTGACACGCTCGATAATCGTAATCCGTAAATATCAATTGGCAATTGGCGCTAATTATGTGTCGATCCGGCCTAGCTCGGGGCAAATAAATGAATTCAGATTGATATTGAACTATTATTCAGCGCTGTCCAGATGATATGTTCGTCGGCCATCGTATATATTCGGAAGCGACGAATTGCAGCGTTGCCAATGTTTATAAATTTTGTGGGAGATAAAATGTAACTATATTGAAAAATCCGGGACATTGTCTAAAAAACCTGAACCTGTACCTGCCAATCCTGTACGGTTGGTCAGCCTGAATGTATCTGCTGCAAAGTTACACAATAAATCAGTAAAACTGCATTGTAATCCAAAATAACCTTGTGTTAGGCTCCAGTGGCCGTCGATTCCTTCAGCGGTACTTATGACGCGACCACAGCGAACGGAGTCATCTGTTATCAGGTGACGTCGGATTCTAATTCCGAAAACGAAGACTGCCTGTTTTTGAACGTGTATTCGCCGGTAAGTTCATCAAATTTTTTATTAAATTCATTAACCTTATCGCGTTCTCAATTGTAGAATCCATGGACCACGGCACCGATGCCCGTCATGTTCTACATCTACGGCGGTGGGTTCAACTCAGGATCGGCCGGCGGTTACGACCCCGGATTTTTCATGGACTCTCAAAACGTCATCGTGGTTACTCTTAACTACAGGGTCGGCCCCTTTGGTAATTTTCGTGAAGAGTGTTCATTACATGGTGGTTTAACGAAAATAGCGTCCCATAAGCGCACATATAGTTCTCAATATTTTTACAAACATGAATAGGGGGACCAAGATTCTCTATAAATTATTTAATTGAAATGAAAAATTTAAGAGCCAAGTGTGTATGTACAGTGTCCAAGAGACACGTTAAATTGACCAAGAACCAATAACGGAGATATTAGTAGATTACATTCAAATTTCGGTTATACAGGGTGGCGCAACACTATTTTGCAAAATTATCTTCGGTAGCGTTTATTAAACTACAATATACTGAATAGGGTGTTTTATACAAACGTCCCAATAAAAAATATATTTTTATATACGTTGTTTATAAAATGCCCTGTATAAATAAATTTATTTTTAAAATTTCCATCTCTAGATGTCATGCACAACAAATTTTTCAAATCGTGATAAATAACGGAGATATAGTATATGCCTATACTGCGTCTTTTTCTTATAATTAAATAATAATTTGTTATGAATTATATTGATATATTGTCGCCAAATATTATTTAGAATTGTGTATACAACGTATTTGTATTACTTTAAATTACCTTTCAGGGTCTGAATTTAAGGTGTTTAAACTAATGGACGTAAGTTTAAAACATCCAAACATGAAATAATAAAAAACATAATAGAGCCATATTAACAATAATCTAAGATATAATTTTGGCATGTTTTAGCTCTTTGTGGAAAAATTACAATTAACAATCAATACATCTTTCACATTAAGAAAGGTACGGAAAAAATTCAAAAACTACCAGAACCAGATACTCCAGATACTATAGACAATCTGATTACATAAATTTTCGATGCTCAAACGGAATATTCGCACCTTCAAGTGGCACACCCTGTACCGCAAACTAATCAACCCAATTTCAGTTTGATAATAAATCAATAACAAAAAATTAATAATCCTCATTTCTTCATACCCGCGCTATTGGACGCAAAGAAAAAGTAGTCAGATTATTGATCTCGTCTCAAAAAAAATGTTTCTCAGATGCAACACTTGGATAATGTTACGTTAGTATAGAAATAGACTTTTGGTTAATAAAGGTGTCCGTTTCTTAAATAAGTCATTGGGTTCAAGTACGTAGTGTGTGTGACTCTTGCGTTTCCGGTAGGTTTCTTGTCAACCGGTGATGGTGTCATCCCCGGCAACGCAGGCCTCAAAGATCAACTTTTGGCACTCAAATGGGTCCAGAGCAACATTGCGGCATTTGGGGGCGATCCAAACCAAGTTACCATATTCGGACAGAGCGCAGGAGCAGCGTCGGTAGCTTACCATCTCGTTAGTCCACAGTCTGCAGGTCGGGTCCGCGTTGCTGTCCGTAAAACCACCCAAGTCAAAATGACTTTTCGAATTGTTTAGGGTTATTCAAAGCGGCGATCTGCGGCAGCGGCACAGCACTGAACCCATGGGCTTACAATAAAGATCAAGTGGAGATGACGTACGGCACTGCCGCCGTGCTGAACTCGCAGTTCCAGAACTCCAGGGATTCGTCCCAGTTATTTAGTTACTTACAAAACATCGACGCTAGACAACTCGATGCCGCATCGCAGACCTATTCTAATTCTGTAAGTTTAGCATCCGTAATGGGTTGTCGTGTTTAAACAGGAAATACCTATGTCTAAAGTAGATGGATCAAAATATCTTGTCACAGACTCAATTTTTAAAAGATATTTAAAGGGAATTTTGAAAATTGGAGACAATTTTTTCTTTAAATTTCGAATGCAAACATTGACAGTGTGGTGTTTTGAGCCCACAAATGAATACAACTAACTAGCTTTAATTTATGTCGCGTTGAGCTCTTTTCAATCATGTGCAGGCTATGATATATTCGTAGATATGGGAATGATCTTCCGCACATGCCTAAAAATGCACCACTTTCTCTTTAAACACTCAATTCAAAACGCTAAACGAGATCTGGGAACATACTACCATAAAAATGCAACATTAAAAGTGAAACCTGTCGAATTAACGAACTGTTAGCGGCCATGTTGGTTAATGGCAACGAGATTTAAAATGACCTCGCATGCGCATTTTAAATGCTCTATGATTATACCCGTCATGAGAAATGGTGGAGAAGTAAGGCAATTTGTGCTTATGTAAAAGTAGGCGGTGTATATTGTTGCATCAGTGTTGTTCGGTGGTCTATGGTGTTCATATACTATGGTCTTGATAGGTTAGAGCGTGGGACTCTCGGCCTGATATCTCGTGCGCTTATGTCTGAACCTCATGACACAGATTAAATAAAGGACTTGTAGTGGAGTTCTCTTTATTATAAAAAGCCTCCAATACGACACATATAGTTGTCAATCTTAATTAAAGATCATCTTTATTCCTTATTGGATTTTGCATTCTGTTGGCGACCAAATTGAGGCTTTCGGCAATCCAAAAAGTATCAAATTTACGAAAAGCAGGATATGACAAATGTATATTGTCAAATGAAAGCAAAAACAAACTCCACAATTTGTTAAACATTTCTAGTTTGTGATTCAGTTGCAGGGAATCAAGTAAATGATGACATTTTCTTTTATATAATATGTTAGTTCATAGAGCTATATGAATATAAAGACTATGGTCTGTTCATATATATGAGAAAGTGCTTTTGAATGGGATTATCCAAGGATGGTCATTAACATACAATGGAACAAGATTATTACCTAAAGTTTCGGAATTTAAATTCAGGTAAAATTGTGGTCCGTAATAGAAAATAATTTTATACCTACCTGTATTTAATATTCTTTGGTTTGGTATACTACTTAGTTTAAGTTTATTAGTAATCATTCTTATTTCGTGTGTAATACAGCGTATGTTGAATCGTGTACGAATTATTCAAAATATGTGCGAGTCTAGTGTGCTCCCAACCAAATGTAGAAAAAACTATTCTATTGAGACTAAGGAAGTTATAACCAATGTTTATTTGACTCTCATTGAACGTGGTGCCAGCAAGCAAGCATCTTTAGAAGAAACGGCCACATTGACGAAAATTCGAACATCAACTGTATGGAAAATTTCAGCGAGGAAAAAAAGAAGCGATGCTGACATTTTCTCGAGTGTAGATGAAAGTGATCAAGATATAATATGGAGTAAAATTTACCAGTTATACGAGGAACAAAGCGTGCTTACATTAGATATCTTAATTAGGAGGCTTGAACAAGATGAAACCGGTGTTAAATGTGGCAGAATTACCTTATGGGAGTGTATTCAACACATGGCTTTTAGAATTCGGAAATGGCGACTGAAATATCTAGAAAAAAATAGGATTTACAGACAACAACAAAGGCCAATTATTTACTTGGACGAAACCTGGTTCGACACTTATGATACCCCGGAAAAGGGTTGGGTTGACTCAACCGATAAGTGTAAAACAAACGCGCCATCAAAAAGAGGTAAAAGAATAACTATTTTGTATGCTGGCTCTAAAGATGGTTGGATTTCAAATGGACTTTCTCTGTCTGTGAAAAATATTAAAGCTTCTTCTCTGGATTACCATGAAGACACCAGCGCTGATTTATTTGAAAGTTGGTTTAAAAAAAAATTGGTTCCAAAGATTCCTCCTAATAGCGTAATTGTAATGGACAATGCAAGTTATCACAGTAGACAAAACCTGTGACATGTGACACAAAAGCAAAAATCCAAAACTACATGTATAATAACGTCATTTATTTTCACCAAGATTATACCAAAAAGTGATTAATTAAGGTTCTACAAAGCTGGAACCTACAAAAGGAACATCCCTCCACAAAGTTGGGCAAATTCTGTTAAACATATAGAAAAAGTAGAACAATCGTATATCCATATTGCAAATAATATAAAACAAATAATAATTAGAACAGGCGATGATAGCGATAGTGATACTGATATATTATGTGAATAATTTCAAGTAATTTAAGTAGGTAATAAAAATAATTTGTAATTTTATTTTAGATTTAAACATAAATACATAAATAAATAAATGAATAAATATTGTTTAGTATATTTCCTAACAAAACTCCAAATAATTAAATTCTGAGCAAAGTACGGACCTGTTCGGCCATATTTAATTCTTACAGCTTGCCCGGCTCTTTCCTTAATTCGTATCAGTTAGTCACTTTCTTATATCTACGAACATGCTTTACCCGTGCGAATAATACAAGCAATTTCTTAAGCAACATCAAAAAATATTAAGGAGGGACATTAAATACGCGCACTCTCTGAACCTCGCTTTCGACCGATAAAGCCTTGGAACATTTATTGGTAATTGTCATAAAATGATCCTCAGTTTAGGTCAAATTTAGGACCTTTTATTCGTTAGTTCGAACTGACTGGCAACTTGCGCAGATATTTTATTTCTCAGGAAAAAGTACTGTATTATCAGAATAGTGGGACATCTAAACATTGACCTCGACTTCACTGAAAATTTTTATTTTCTAAACATAGTTTCAATTTCTGACAAATGACAACTTCAAAACCACATTTCATAGTACCACCATGAAAACGATACAATATAAAAGACCATTTAGTTAGCAGGTCTATAATAAAGTACCAAAAGTTGCAGAATATTTTTTTCTTTTTTTTTTGTTATTCTTAAACAAGTTATTTTTTTAAGAAGCCTATTTGCCGGAAAGTTGGTAAGCTTAGATTAGGTTAAGTTAAAACAGGAAGTGAAGCTCCAACTTCACCATTTGCGATTTTATATTACAATAAAGTCATTATTATTATTATTATTATTATTATTATTATTGTCTTTTTTATATAAAATTCATTTTTGCTTGTAAGTTCACTTAGTTGAATATCGACTCCATGAAAAATTTAAAGTTAATTTTTATTCGGTTGTTAATATGAAAATATCTCACTGGTCAAATGCTGACATACAATGGTTAAAAGCCAAATTTACATTCCAAGTCAATGAGAGCTAGAATGAAATTAAAACAAAACAATTTTCGAAGTTAAAAATTCAATATGACGCCCATAGGAAAAAAATTAATAATGGTGGTCGAAAGACGAAATGGAAAATCTGAAAGCATCATCGTGTAACTAATAAGGCATTGAAAACGTGCAATAAGTTTTGGGTTTTATTCTAATATGTCTGCAATTTTAAAAGTTTCTAAATAGCATATCGTTAGGCACTCTAATTAGCAACGTTGACTGAATTCAACGATCTTCACATTTGCCATAGATTCTGAGATTCCAGTGGTCGGGATCGTATTACATTCTACTGCTAAGTGATATTTGGTGAGAACTAAAATACTTTGTAAATTTTTTAGATATCGACGGTGGCGAATCAACAAGTGCAGCAGGCCTTTTTCTACGCTCCCGTAATTGAAACTCACAATAACAACCCGTTCGTAACTCAATTGCCGTACGAAGCAATTGCCAATGGAAGCTTCAACAAAGTTCCATTGCTGATCGGCACGGTAGCAGAAGAGGGATTACTCTTGCTGAATGGTAATTTTCGATTCCATTTTTGCTTTTATCCTCCGTTTGTTTGGAACGAAAAGTTACAAAACGATCATCGTTAAGAAAATCAGATGTAGTCAGTCGGCCGAGAGTATCTTTTTATATTTATAGCGATGCTCAGATGGCTAAAATTGGAAATGATATCTACCCATTAACCATTATTCTAGAAAAAAAAAACCTTGGTAGATATAGCGCATTCACAGATGGTTTTGGTTTAATGAATGCAAAAAAAAAAACTACATGGGGCGGCCCACTTTGTAGGGAAGGGCATGCTGTAAATATGCAACATACGAAGATCTAGTACTATGCAATTTTATATAAAAAAACATACAGGGTGTTCAATTTGAAAAAATAGTGTTCACAATCTTTTCCTGTCAGAATCACTAATTTTAAACGACCATGTATACCATGGAATAAACTGGTCTAGGTAAATCTAATATACAGGGCTTTCGTAAATTGAAACCTTATTTTTAGTTTTCTATAGGTTCAAATAACGGCGAAATGAAAGTATAAGTTGTTTCATATGTTGGAGAAAAAGAATTAAAAATAATTAATATTGAGAAAATCGCATTATGTTATAAATAATGTTATAAACTAACAAGGTACGACATTAGAAAAATTAATTTTCGGTTCTCCGTAAACGTCTAGCTTACCTTTAAGCCCTCAGTAACTATTGCTGTAACACTACTCGAAAAAGCAAGTAAGCAACACTCCAAGATGGAGATTGTTAATATTCGGTGCCTCACTCTCTAAAAGAATAAAACCGAGTAAAAAACTCATAAAATTTTAAATACAAAATATGTTTGTATGTATGTATTTCATGCAGGCAATGCCTATCCTGATAGTACAGGAATTTTTAAAGCGACGATGAAAAAAACATTGTGATGGGCGCGGACGCGGCCATAACATTGACCATCATGGCCACTGCCTGTTCGTCAATTTGACAGGTTTCAGTTTAGATGTAGCATTTTTACGGCAGCAATTTCTCAAAATATGCCTCTCGAAATTTTGAAAGATTCGTGGTGATTGTTTGTACGGTAAATGGAAACACAAAAACCGTCCTTTCAAAATTGGGAATTAAAGTATCGCTTACAGGGCGTCCAGAATCCATACCTTCCCCTATTCTCAAGTGGTTTCTTGATGTTTCGTATTTTCTATCGATCAAACTCCAAAGTTCTTTCTAGTTAGCATTGAGATTAACCAAATGTGACAAGTCCATTACGCGAAGAATATTAAAGTTTATTAAGTGTTTGAATAAAAATGTTTTCATATAGATCCAGTTAATGTAATGATTTCGTTTACCTTCAATGCACATTTCTTGCGTTAAGCTTTTCTTGCCTTTCATTATTATGTTCCCAATTTTTTATGCTCTCAATTTTCCTGTTTTGATTGTGTGCTATTTAAACTGCATTTTTGTCGTTTGCCAAGGTTCATTTTATTTCTTGAAACAAAAGTTATCATCACCATTATCAACACTTGAAAATGTCGAAACGGTGCCGTGATGAAAATCCATACGTTGGATGTTACATCATTCAAAATTTAAGCACCAGAGAAAAACCAAACACCTCAAATCAGGTGATCTAAGAGGTCAGTTGCAGACCTGTCGTTTTGATGTAACGGTACCAATGTAAAATGAACATGTCAAAGACACACACAAATTGGTTGCTAAATTGGCAAACATTATATACATGCTCAATATCAAGTCAAAAATAGTTGAAAATCGCATTACTGAGAATAAAATTATGAAATTATGAAATTATCTTGAAAATCCAAAAAATGAAATGATATACCTGGTGTTCCATTTTAAATAAGGAAGTTAGGTGCTGTGAGATACTTAGGAGATACTCTAGCACAATCATGAGGCATAAAAGAATTCCGCATTGTTAACCTACCCTGTATGTGTTCTACTCAAATGTTTTCTGCAGAATACACCACTTGGATCCTTTCACAATACGACAGCGACCCATCGTTGCTAGTTCCGAAGGGCATGCACGTAGCCGATCAGAACACTTTAACTACTGTGGGGAAACTTATTAAGCAAGAGTATTCGCCGAACGGAGATTTCCAATACAACACGCTAGCTGGAATCCAAGTAAGAATCGACTTCCTGCTACTATGAAATTTTCTAAACATTTTCGAATTTTCAGTTTCAAACAGAACAGGATTTCCAGAAATCTCTGATCAAGCACGCCTATCTTCAGTCGGCGTTTACGAATGTATATTTTTACCTGTTTTCCTATAGCGGACAAATGGGAGAGAACACCGTTAAGTTGGCAGGTGAAACATGCGGATGTCGTGTGTGAACTGTCTTACGTCACCGATTTTCTAGGCTCCGGCGACGTGACACACAGCGAAGACTTGCACTATATTTGGGAATGGTCAAATCCGACAAGCTATCCGCAAACCGACCAGACAGTCCACGAACGTTTGGTGAAAATTTACACCAATTTCGCATTATATCAGTAGGTTGACAAGTAGACCACTAAAATAGCGTTTTACGCCTTGCGATATCCATTCTCCATTACCGTCTAAAATTGGACTCATTCTCATTCAAGGATTCAAGTCTTGATATCCTAGCAGATCTTATAGCATCCATCTGTGTTGACCCGATTTTCCTTTTGTCGTTTGCGGTCATTGTCCATATTTCCGAGCCATAAGTTAGAAGACTTTTTATCATGGAGTTATATATACTAATTTTACTATTCTTTGTTACATTTTGTTACCACAAAATCTCGTTCAACGCTCCGACATTGTGCAACTCTGTTTTGACAGTTATGTTGGTCCGACACTCATGTACTTGGTTTTGTCAATGTTCGTCTTACTCTATCATAAGCGAATTGTAAAGTGAACAGAACATTTAAGTGATAGCCTATTGGCCTACATTTATTTATCCAGGTTTTTAATGCTTGCTCTGTGTATATTTTTAACAACGTAGGTAAGATGTAGCAGGCCCTGTCGACTATGAATCCTTGCCGTACAGTTGTTATATAACAATTGAACAGCTATTGCAAGAGTGTAGTTGATTTGTGTGTGTTTTAGGGCCTCCCATAATTTTACGACTAGTACTGTGTCGTAGGCAGAGTAGATGAACCTCCTTTCTATGGGCTAATTCCTTCTTAATTATTTGTTTAATATAGAAGGTATTATCTGCGCAGGATATTCAGCTAAAGTCATCTTGTCCTTCTGCTTCTTTGTCTTGGTACTCTTCTTCAATTAGGTATCTTATAACTCGTTCAGAAAATTGACTGAATGTGCTAGTAAGTGAAAGACCCCAATTGTTCCGATCTGTGCGTTCACCTCTTTTAAACGACCCTATATGCCAACTTCCATTTAAGCACATTGTGAATAATTTCGCTGCTGTGTGGTGTTTTAGTGGCCCTTGTTTGAGTAGTTCCGTAAGACCTGACGTTATTCTGGACAAGTTCCGGTGTCATTAAGATGGATTCACCTTCGATGGTGGGGTTCCCGGTTTAGGTAGGAAAACTGGTCGGTCTTCTTTGTACAGTTCATCAAAACAGTGGCTCCAGATTTGAGTGGCCATCATTTTTATTGACTATTCCCTTACCAGTGCGTTAACATTCCTATAATAAAATTTTTTGTCCCAAATTTCTTCTTTTTCTTCCTTTACCACTCTCAGCGTTTCTCCCTGTATCTCCTTGTTATTTTGTTTGTCACTGTCACTTTTTGAAGACAGACTACAGAGTCAGTGGTCCTTTGTAGGGATCATTGGTCTGTACAGTGTGTAAAAACATAAGGTCCCTCTTTGATTCCCGCGAAAAGCGGATAACAACTACAGGTGTCCCCTGGGAGGAGCTGTCTAGTACTGCACAGTTCCTATCTTTTTTTTTTCACAAAAGGTTCTTGTTTTAAATAAAATCACCAATTTAGAAAAGAAAATACTATTCAGGACCTCTATTATGTTTTCAGTGCAGTGTTCTTTCATAAACCATTTATGCAGGGTGTTGTAAAAAACATGCGCGAATTCTTTGCTGGAGAGTTCATGTAAACTTAGACCTGAAAATGCTTAGTTTCCAAGATACGGGGTTCGTCTTCATAATACAGGGTGATGTATCTTTGGTACATAATTTGTTGCGTTTCCTTTATCATCAGTTAGAGACGAACTAGTTTTACTTTACTTTGTGTCGTTTTTAAACTTTTCAATTAGTTCACTGGTATTCAGCAAATATGTATTTTAGGAATCCCACTCCAAGCCAGGATTCTTTGCTCTATGTCACGTGGCCGACGGTACAGCCAAACAATTTCGAGTACGTCGAGATCGGCGCTGAGTTATCCGTTAAGAATGATTTTAAAAAGGAGAGGTACGACTTCTGGAACAACTTGTACCAAACGTACGGCGTGGGACCATTTGAAGTTTTTTAATTTGTAAAAATACGCGAATAGATGCTTTTTACTACCGTTAATGGAGTGCTTTGTTGTTTGGAATATTCCTTACTAGAGGTTTAGACAGAGGCACACTAGTGATCATTAATGATCAGTGATCATGAGCCAGGACCTGTAAATAAGTTTTATTAACATAATTAACATATCCTTCTCCAGTAAAAAAGACGTCCAAGAATGAGAATTTTTATCTATTAGATACAGTTATTACAAAAATGATTTACGAAAAATGTTTCAAAAATTGATACTCTGTACCTCCAAAATCATGCACTTTTGCACGTTGATTGATTTTTCGTTTATCTCACCTTGAAATTACCATTTTCAAGTCCTTTTTGCTGTTAAATTTGTTGGCAAAACGTGCAAGAAGATTAAAAAAAACACAATAAACTCAGGATCTGCAAATCAAAAAGAAACTTTCTCCAGCGCAAGCTTACGAGTTTTTTGCTATTGCCACACTGCTCCATGGTATAGAGAGGTTGCAATGTTATAAAATTGTGATTCAGAAATGAATGGAGCTTTTTTTGATACATAACATACGTTTGTTTACTGATAATCCATAATACATGTTATATTCCTAAACGCTATTAACAAAAGAACTAAAAAAATATTCTGTTTATTGGAATGACTTGGCTCATCTATGCGGCCGCAACTTTACTCTGTTGACCGGACTTCTGACTGAGATTGATTTTATCTCCTAAGCTCAGAGCCATTCCCTAAATAATTAAAAACACATAGTCAATTTTATTACTTAAAGATTGGGGAGCTACCGGAAAATATTCAATGAAATTATTTTTAATTGGCATTAAAATTTGAAGAAGCTGGTCCATTCACACAATGTCATTTAGAGGATCTCTATACAGGGTTAATTTTAAACCAGACTAAGGAAAGTTAAGGTATTAGATTCAAAATACACTCCACCACAACCTTCCAATAGCAATGAAACCGAAAGCAATCCCACACTTGCCACCGTTGTCCTTCCTTATATTCAAAACATCACTTCCATTTGAGATACTAGGAGTTTACAGTATTCGATGCATATGCGGCAAAGAACACATTGGAGAGACCGGACGAAAAATATCAACTAGGCTCAAAAAACATGAAAGAGCCTTAAGACTAGGAGAAATAAACTTATCAGCAGTTGCCGAACACTATAACGAAAAATTTTACTCGATAAAACTGACATTCCTGAATGTAATCAATTTTTCTACCAACGAAAAATCCGCAAGCAACCTAACAACCTTAACCGCGACTCAGGTCTGTCACCTGTCACCAATATGGGAATCAGTCATCAAATAATATATAAACAGGTACAGAGTAAAATGCAAGCCAGATTCAGTCAAGCTCTAAAGAAACCAAAAGGATGATTGTTGAAACGTTAGCTAGTTCGACTCAACAAAAAACGACGAAGTTTTATAAAAAGTACATGTAATTCCTGATTTCTTTGTACTTTACCTTTAATTAGTTTTCATCACTTTGTTGCGTTATAGCCTGAATAATGAACTATTCACTCAGTAATTAAAAAATATATTTCCTGGTAAGTTAAAAAATATGGCGTTCCATTTAAATCAATGAAGTTCTAGTTACTTAAATTTGTTATTAGAATAGAATACACTTTTGGGCACCCTCAGCTTTTCAATAGAATAGAATGGGAGAAGTATCACGAAAATTAAGCTTTTAAATAGGGTCTATGTCTACACTTTACTGCAGATTTCGCTTACCTTGCTTAAAATTAGAAAACATTTTGACAAAATTCAAATTATTTACGAAACCGGAAGGTTTAGGTATGTTATGTTATGTTATTGAAAAATACACTTATTTAGGTCCTACAATTAAAAAATGCTATAATATTGAGGGAGTTTCATTTTATAAAGACTTTAACTTTAATAAGTTTAATACCTTTGGGACAATATGTAAAGTATGAAAGTAATTCTAAAAAGTTACTATAATAGGACTTTACACATCCCAAAAGTAAAACTTTTTGAAAACCTTGTATTTCGGCCGCAAAGAGTGAATAACCCTATATAATTTGTATCTGTATGTATTTGATTCTGTTGTTTTGTCTCAGATCTGACGAGCCTGGTCCCATGGTCCATCCTAGACCAGGAATGCCTGTCTCAAGTTCCATACTGCTGGAATTTGTTTGTCCTTTTTTGTTTTTAGATGTGACAGTCTTGCCTGTTTGTCTGTGTTTTTGGTGAGCTCTGAACCTGTCTATTAACCGAGCCTAGCTGCTTAGCAGCTTTAGATGTCTCTTAAATAGAAACAGAAGTCGGAATGCTGGCAAATTGTCTAGTAGCAGCGCCAACCCCAAAAGCAGAAGAAGAACCCTGTATAATATATATCATTGTGAACATCTATTGGTGAAGCTACCAGCAGTACCAAATTTTAATGTCAAATAAAAACTAAATATGAGGAAGAAAAGAGTGTCACCTGGCTTTTCGCCCTGATCCTTATATGCCCTTGAACGGGGGCGTCGGGTTTGTTGAAAGGCTTCTCAATGCTTAAATTGGCGAGCGCGTCTTCTCCGAATATGGATTTCGCGTACATGTTGGCGGCCATAAAACCGCACTGGCCTGACAGTGCCTTCTCCGGCGTCAAGCACTTCATGTTTGTGCTTTTAATCAAGTGCTTCAGGTATTCATTCAAGTCCGTTAGGGGAGTGTTAACTGTGACCTAAACAAAGAACACGTGCACAATAAACGGGGTGTTATGCAAATTACACCATATAATTTTGTGATCGAGTCTCTCGGCCCAGATACAGATGAGCTCTTAATTATGAAAGTGGTATAAGTCCAGTTACGAGATATTAAGAGGTTTGTATTTTAAAGGATTAAAAAATATTTTTGTATTATGGAATAAAACATTTCGACAATTAAATAGCGCCAACAAGTTATTTATTATGATTGTGAAATTTATAAAAGGAAATGTGGTTTTGAAAGGTTGAAATGACTTATACCATTTTCAAAATTAACTACATGACTTTATAAATTACTGTTTGTGGAAAATTAGTGGGATATAGGGTAGTATGGCCTTCCACTTTGAATTCGGAATGGTCATCCTAAGCAGCTTTATAAAACATGGAACATTTTTTAGAAATCAGATCCAATGTATTTGTATATTCTATTAGTCGTTGATTCTCCTAGTTGATGGGTTTCTCTTTTTACATAATTCTATTAAATTAAAATAATGCTCGGAGATGCATTAATAAATCGATTTTTTAATTTTAGTTTCTATCAAACCAAAATCGGGATCATTTGGCAAAAAAGAATGGCTGGTTACCATAAATTTATGAACTGTTTCCACATTATTATCAGATGACTGAACAATATTCAACCATATTAACGCTATGTTAATGTTACGATTGCTTTTGAGTGGTACGATACAGGACGCAATTTCCTGTGATCCTCTTGAGGCGGTTATTTCATTCAATGCATACATTTTAGCATTTTCATTGTGGAAATTATGAAATCCTAAATTGTATACATACATGTTGCACTTATTATAAGTTAACAAAACCAGAAAGTTTTGGATAAGAAATTGCCTTCAGTGGATCAAATGGGAATCCGTAATATTCACTGGGGTTATCTTTTGTTTTTTGTTTGTCATCTGTTAAAATTTTTCTTGCCTGTTCGGCACTGTTATGATGTGAATCATGAATTTTCATGAGATACAACTTCTCGTCTTCATTACTGGATTCGGCACGTGTCTCTACGAGAAGAATGAAAATTTAAGTTGAACTCCGTATTGAATATTTTCCTGTAAGTCCACTCTTTCACACGTGATGTATTATTTTCATCACATTTTTTCAGATAAGGCTCATATATTTTTCGAATATTGAAGTCCTGAGTTGGATATTTTCGACCTGAAGTGTGATCTGATCGTCGTCTTTCACATGCTGGAAAATTCAAAATATGTTCTCGTACAACTTTAATCTTAACTTCGAACAATCCATATAGATACAAATTGTTTTTCAAAATTTGCTCATTTTTAAAAATAATTAAAATTAGCTTTCCTGTCCTCATATTCGAATCCATTTATACTATATTTTCAAAAACTTTACCACTCATATGCTTCATATTCATCTCCACACTTTCTCTTCATTTTTCTTATAATTTGTGCATAACTTGTGATTTCTTGTCCTCTTTCTTGACTTCATGTTGCCTTTTTCCATTTGTAAGCGTACTGATTTCAGTTTTAATATAATGTCCACAATTAACCACAAATAATTAGCTATTCAAATTTTTCTTCAATTTAGATGGTCGTAACTTGCTCCTTACCTACCTTACCTGTCAATGTATCATGCCAGGTGGTCCAAAAAAAATTTTTTTTAAATACTTTCTTTATCTTTCTATTTTTCTAAAATGAAATTTTAACTAAGTAAAAAATATTATAATAGAAAACTAATCATCTGTTGATCAAAATTTATATGTATTTTTTGTTAATATGAAAAGTGCTACCTGTTGTTATATTCACGCTACAAGAAACCAATACAGACACCAAATAATTGCTTACTTTGTTTTCCCACTCGAACTCTGCCCACATCCTCATGAACTCTGTGTCGGAGCATGCGGCTGGGACAATATAATCCATAATGTCTATATGGATGTCATTTAATACGACGACGTTTCTGTCCGAGGCGGCGCCGGTTACATCATAAACTATATTACCGAATATAATGCCGTTCTCTGTGGAAGCGACCTAAACAAAAACTTTACCTTTCACAGATCTTTCTCTTTGCTCCATCGATACTCGCACCAACCTTAACATTCGCTTTGATGTTACAGAAATCTTTTGGAGCCAAAACCACCGGCTGCGGTTTTTCAACCAGCTTCAAGTCGCCCAACGTGGCTAATTCCAATGTACAATTTTGCAGGGTGTCATTGGTTTGATTGACGATAAGGACGTCGAGAACTATGTCGTACTGATTGACTTGAACGTAGGCTTCTGCATACACGGGATCGGAGAAGCCTAAGACATTATCAATAATTATATTCAGGAAAATTTCAAGGTCTAAAATACTATAGTAAAGAAGGAGGAGAAAAGAACTTTTAGAACTTTTAAAGTAAAACTATAATAAGGGAAGGAAACCAATTGATATATTCAGAAGTGCAGGGGGCCTTTTTATCATATACCTACTAGGAGATATGGAGGCGCTGCCTACGCTGATAACGCAGAAACTTATGATGTAACTATGAAAAATTTTTATAGGTCCATTCAACAAGCGCATCAGCGATATTTAACATTTAGTTTTTAAAAAAATGATTCAACAACCAACACTGCCGCTGACAGATCATCAATTAATTTGGATGCGGTACTTTTAGGGCAGGTCAAAAGGAGCTAAGTGTGTTCAAAAAGAAAATAGCGCAAAGTGCAGGTAAGTGGATGAAATGTACAGGCATCTCTACGAAAACATTAAAGCCATACGGAAAGAAATTCAAAAGACTTATAATATTAAGCAGATAAGAGAATGTAAAAATCAGTTAACTATACTTTATGTGATGAAAACAAATGACTGCCAAGAATTCTACTGCCTAAAAAAGAAATAATATGACAATTTGCTAAAAGTAGGTAAGAGAAGGTGTTGTAGGTTAGATTAGATTAGATAAATTCAGGTAATAAAAGAAAAAATGCTTGAGCAAGCGTTAGCGAAATTAAAGACAAGTATAATGGAAAGAAATAAAAATAGAAAGTGATAAACGCGTTTTAGCAAATAATTTTAAAGATTATTTAATAAACGCAACACCTTATCTAATAGTAAAACAATATACAATTTTTTTTAGCTCGGATATAGAGTTTAATCAGGTGAAAATTTGAAAAATTTATGAAATTAAAACCATTGAACAAGGTATGTTTCACGTTTCGGGTTCCCATAAACTACATAGGTATAGAAACTAAAAATATGTTGCATCATGCAAATGTTCAAAGTCACATTAGATATGGAATTCAGCTGTACGGGAGTTGCAGAGACATTGAAAAAGAATTTATAGTACAAAAGCGTGCAATCAAAACACTTCTAGAAGGTAGACAGACCTGCAGAGGAAAGTTTAAAGAACCTAATATCTTAACAGTAACTGCAGTGTTCATACAGGAGTGTGTCATGTACTTTTTTTTAAATAAATTCTTTTTTATTCCTAATGAATCAAAAACTGTTTATGCACCTCGCACACAGAATTTTAGTTTTCCTCACCATTAACTCACGGGGACTGAAAAGGGTCCTTATTACCAGTGCATAAAAATATTCAACAACCTCCCAGAATGGATACAGAAAATCAGAACTGTTAAAATTTTAAAGAAATTTTTAATATTCTAATCAGAATGGAACCGACCATACACTATGCAAGAGTTTTACACCAAGATAAGAAAATTGAAAATATTATTACTTTGACACTATTTAATTTATGTATATATACTTTAAATAAAGAATTATTATTATTATTATTATTATTATTATTATTATTATTATTATTATTATTAAGCACTTACTTCTTCACAAAATAGACTTCACTACAAACATCCAAAGACAATGAGTCCCATCGTACACTTGCCACTGTTGTCCTTCCTTACATTCAAAACCTCACTAACCACATATCAAAAATTCTTAAGAAATGAAGATTAAATATAGGAATCCAGAAGATTTGTAAATATTATTAATTAAAGGGTCGAAAAATGATTTTAATTAATGTTAACTACTACTGAAATGGATAACTTAATAACAAAATGACAATTTCATTAGTATAGATATTTTAAAATTTCATGTCTTACATATTATTGTGCTATAAAGTGGTATAATTCAATTAAAAAAAAAATTGAAATCTACGAAGCGCTGATAATATAAAATTAATTTAAAAAAATAGGTAATCCTATACCAAGAGCGACACTGCATAAATATTCCCTAGCGTATTGCCAGATGTGTAAGGGTTCTCTCTACCTGATTTTCGAATTTGACCTGGAGTTTTACTCCTCGCCATTTTTTATTCCTTCCATGTTTATTCAACCGCGTTTTCTGCGAATTGACAGAAAAGAGCATGACAATACTTCTTTTTATTTTAGATAATTTAAGGCCATTCTCTGATTCTTCCAAGTTTTCCAAGTTAACGTGAATCCGGAGATTATATGAGTATCGATTTTGAAGCAACTCGAGATATTTCATCCGAGCTACAGTGACAAGACTCCTTCCATGTCTTGTACAAAAGTATTCAAAAGTATTCGTATGTTAGTCAGAGTAAATAATTATGATTCGATGAACAAAATACTGACCGGTGAGCTGCGTGACCTTGTTCAGTTTGCTGACACCGCTGGCAGCCTCCGATCCGGTACCTCTGCCGCCGATCAAAGCTTGGGATAGCGACGTTTCGAACATATTTTCGCCCAGTTCGCCGCTCTTGACCGCTTCAAGCTGCAAGAAGTTGATTGGGTCGTCGGTCTGAATCTTCGCGCTGCTTTTTTCCTTGGCTTTCTGATTGGTCGCCTCTTCGAGCTCCTTGGCCAGTAGCATGTCGTTCAGGGCCCTGCGACAGTACCGGGTGAATATGTCGATTATGGCCTGCGAGCGATCGGAAATGACGCGGAGACAAAGCAGGATGTGGTCTCTATCGTCGTTAGTGATTGGTTTTGTGGGTAAACCTAAAAACGTACTTTTTGAATACGGGACGTCGGAAAAGAGGTTAAAAGTTCCACCTGACTGTCCAAGATGTATGATGCTGCTCATAATTAACATGATCTCGGCATCGAACCTGTTGCGTTTATCTGCCGATGTCAGGTTGCCGTACCTCAATGCTAGTTTGGTCAGTGTCGACGCTAGTGCCGCGCCGATGAAAAAGTCACCGTCTATTAAGTACTGACGCAATGTCGGGCGCTGTTCTTTTTTGGATTTTCTACAATCGAAGAACAGTATACAGTATAATTAGTTAACAGGAAAAATTTTAAAATCAGAACCTGACGCCCCCAAACCCAATAAGACTACCTTGATGAAATTAAAAATCCTACAAACAAGTTTAAAACCATGAATAAAAAACCACATAAACAAATATGAAGCAGCAGTGTTAACCATTTCTTGTTGAAAAAATATTTGTGTACATATACAGATGTTTATATGGTTTTCATATATATTTTGGTCAAAAGTTATTAAAAATTATTAAAAATGTTATTATGCAAGTAGGTCAAAACTTATTATAAAATATTTATTTATATATGGAAACAAAACATCTCGACGATGATTGAACGAAATTGTATAATAAAATTCATAATTCATAAATATTTTATTTATTATTTTAAATTATCTATTTTATTTTAAATTAATTTTCAATAGCCGTTACCTATCTTTTTTGGTTTTTAGATTACTTGACCAGCTTGAAAAATGTTACTGCACCATGATTCAGAAATATTTCAAATTTGACGTTTGTTTTTGGCGCTCTACTAAAAGGTGTCGACAACTATCAAGTTTAAGGCTCAGTCTTATACTAGATGTCGTAAAATTGTACTGAACACTTATGAGGTTAACGCAGAAAACGTTTGCCTTTTTAAATGACACCCTGCAACTCTAGGTGTCATATAGAGAATAATTTAGAATTTAGTGTACATATCGCGTTTACCCGGATATCGGTTTACAAGTCAATAATTTGAAAAATGAACAATCAACAAAACGAATATTTAACTAATATTTTTATTTTGACACTTGATAATTGTGTAAACTTTTGCATAAAGTCGTAATAGAAATCAATAGCAACATTGGAATTTCAAATGCTATACCCTATATTTTATTACAGAAACGGATTTCATGCAAAATTCTAATTTATGTGAGCAAAGGACCTCCATAGACCAATATTTTGTACATGCCATTTATACCGAGGTTGAAGTATACAAAGTATTAGGATTATTTTGCAGTTTGTCGAACCCAATTTTTCTTTTGTTAAAATTAGAGATTATATAGGTTATTGGTAACTACATATAACAATAATTATAATAAATAAATATATTTTGTCGCTTATATTATAATATTTGCTTAATAATTAATAATAATATAATAATAATAAAAGACAAAGCGACGGGAATAAAAAAATATTAATTTTCAAATTTTAATATTTACAGTTAAATGTTTCCTGACCTACACCAGAGCTCAATAATAATTTGAGATTTGCGGATTCACAGATTCATTAAAATTGACCATTTCGACATATTTTTTATTTTCAAATGTTATCTCCATTGCTATTAACATTGTTAGATACATAAATGCAAGAACTAAGTTTCTCATATGTTTACCAAACGTTAAAATCTTTATTTTGAACTTAAACCTCGTGTTAGTAAAAGCATTTGGTTTTTTATCAAAAATGTTATAATATTTAGAAAATAAACATACTGCACTGTGTTAAAAGCGGATTGGGTGGCATAGGTTCCATCTGAGGTAACCAAGGTGGTTACAACCTGGCCGGTTCCACTTTCTGAAGTTTTTTCCTCCGACTCTCCTTGACTTAAGCGGTGCTCGGCTGCCACCAAGGACCCCTCCCCTAGAGTGTTGGTTACCTCCCTGATAACAGCTTCAATATCTGCAATCGAGGTGGAATATTCTCCCAAAATCCACAAAGCTGCCCGGTGCACTTTGACTGATTTAATGTCCTTGAAAGACTCCAGGAGTTTCTCTATGATGAGTGGTTGCAGATTCTCAAACTTCTGTACCGCCTCCCTGACAAACACCAACACATCTCCGGCAGCCAGTTCATTGTTATCGGAGAGAAACTCGACCAGCACAGGAATAATGGTTGTGGCAACGTCCGGGAATTTAATGCAACAAGTGTGCAAAGTTCTAACAAGTAGCTGTCGATACTTCCCAGTATCTTCCTGCTCAGAATCTACTGTTTTTGACACTTCCTTTTTTAGAAACATAACCATTTCTTCAATATTACGCGAATTGACTAACTCCATAGCCAAATTGAGGGTCTTGCGCCTGACTTCTAGGTCGGGACTCGATAAAACCCTCAGTATATCCATCACGAGTTCCTGGAGTACTCGATTATAATTTGGGTGTTCCCCTAAACTAACTAATTTGTCTAGCACAATTAATTTAACATTGTTGTCACTTTCTTTGATAATTAGATCTATATAACAACTCGCCACAGCTCTAATTGCAGTGGGTGCACTAGACAGGGTTACTAAGGTCCCTGCAGCTTCATATCGGACAGCAGCACTATTAGAGTTAAGTAAATTGTAAATACACCGGATAAACCTTGACCTCTCTGCTGGATTATTGTGACAAACTTTATAAATAAGTTCTACAATAACTAACTGCAGAATATCCCCAAAACTAGTGACCTGATCTAGACATGAGCTCAGGTAAGCCAGTGCCCGGTCCTGATCTGCATGCAAAAGCATTAAAAAAGCATTCCTCTTGCACGACATGTCTTGTTCTCCATCCAAATAATTTGAGATTAATTCGGGAGCGTCCGGTATTAGAAATTCAAAGTTTCTATATATGGTAAAAATGGCCAGAACAGCATTTCTGCGTACATAACTATGTCTGTGTTCCAAGCAAGCTCTGATTGATGGCATTAAAGGCTCCAAAAGCTCAGGCTCCTTCAGTTTACATAAAAATCTCAAAGTCGAACCCCTCAAAAATTCGTTCGGATGCTGGAGGTCTTTGCGATAAGCGTCACACACCAAAATCATCTCTTGCAGTAGTTTACCATCGGGCGAAGTTTTCGGCACAATCTCCCAGAAAATGAGCAGCAATTTTTTCGCAGTGTGGTCTTGCAAAGGAAGTACATAGCGAATAATAATCATTAAAAAACCAGGCGGCAAGCGTTCTCCAGCTAGAATCATACGAATTGTTTTCTTCAAAGCTTCAATTTTTTGATCAGTATCTCCCTTTTCTGAAAAATAATGGCTTCAGTAAAATGTATTTGCTGTTGAGGTACACATACCCAGATCGCTTTTTAGCTGCATTTCGTTATAAGGCTCCGAGTCGGAGGAAGCATTAATCAGGGTATAACAGGGTTGTTCTACTGCGCTCATCTCCAACGAAATTTATAGAATGTTTTTATAAAATATCTGAGAATTTATTGAATTCTAAATTAACTGTTTCACTGCTTTGTGTTGCGATGGTTTAAATACCATAAATTATTATAATTTTTGTGTTTCAGTTGTGAATAATACGTGTCAGATCGCTATTTCCCCTAAATGTCAGAGCAACACAACCTCGAAGTTGCGGTGCGTTCCGAGATCGCACTACAGTTCGTTCCCTAATTGCTGACGTCAGAGAATAGTTTCTAGTAAGTTTAGAATATAGTTTATGATTAGGTTCGACCACTTAAATGTGTTGTTACAATATGGCAGGCAAATTTCGGAACATATACAAAATATATTGTAGACAGGTTTCAATTATCTTTTTTCTACTACCTACTCTAAAACACCGAATTATTCATCCTAGCGGTTAGACATTTCCAGTTAAAATTAGTTATGGCTTTGGGAGCTAGCGTATGTTTTTAGTAGACTTTAAGCACGGATAGTGTGTTGATGTTTGTCTTAATTGAGACATCAGGATTTTCGATTATATGGGACATCAATTTTGATTTTTCAGTAGTTACATTAATAAGTAGCCGTTAAGTTATCATCGACAGTGTTTTCTGTTTAACTATCTATTACATGAAATGTTTCAGAGTCAATAAAAATATCTAATAATAAATCAAGCTATTATCTCGTGGACTTATTGACATACTCGATGAATAAAAATGTGTCGCACTGTCTAAAAATAATGTCGTTGTCTCTGGTCCAAAATTCTTAGGCTCTTCGACAATAAATTCTTTAATTGCAATATTGCTGTTCAGTATGTGCTCATCAACCAGCGAGTCGTTTGCTACAAATCCGGTGCAACTGAACCAGCAAATAGCAAAATGGAGGAGGATGAGTAAGTTTATAATCATTTTTTATTTTATAACAGCGAAAATTTTAGGAGGATGTATAAGAGAAAAATTTGAAAAACGAAAATCGATTTGTGAGCCGGTCAGTAACAATAAATTCGGCCGATTTATTTATTATTTTCCAATTTACGAAGTTTTTATGAAAATTAAATTCGATTTTTTCACAACCCGGTACTTAATTGTTTTTTTAACACCAAAAATAGGTTGGATCATTCTTGGTGCCGTAATATCGTTGTAATTTTCTAAACAGGAATTATTAATCACGAAAAATTCGCATTTGAAAATGAACGTCTAGAATCTCCAGTAGATATTGTACAGCGATAAAAGATTTTGAACTTTAAAGATTTCCAGAGTTTTGTAATAATATGTCTTTTAAACACATTAACAAATTCATTAAACTTCCTTTCATGTTTCAATTCAATTCATGTTTTTTAGATGATAATTATTTTATTATTCTGAATTTCACTAAACCTGTTCTCAATCCTTTCCTCTGTTATTCCAGATTCCATATCAAAAGCCAATCAAAACCCCAAATTCCTGCATAGTTGAATAAAATTGATTCTGACAAAGTGTGACGTTTTTGGTGTTATTTCCGTCAAAGGAGTTAAGACTCCAAAACTAACCACCAAGTTCACCTGATTTTAAGCCATTTGATTTCCACCTCTGTAGCAGCAAACGGTGAATGATGTAATATTATTGTCAAGGCTGCTCTCTTTAATCATTTTTTACTGTCAATGAACGCACAGCGTTCAAAATTTGTTGACCAATTCATTATTTTCAAAAATGAAAAAATTAACGCCGAGCGTGTATGCTCTATGGTCATGTTCAGAATTTAATTTTATTTGCTGTAAGAAATTAATAGGCGAAATCTCGCTAAAACACTTATTTATTCGGGAACACCGTAATACAGAAAATCGTATGGCCTGGTCAACGAATTAAAACAAACTGCAACGCAAAAATATTCTTCGAGCAAGCTCCGCGATAATAGCCCACACCTGTCTAAACAAACCCTTCATTGTGCGGCCCCTGTAATGACCTCACCATCGAATTATCTGTCGTAAATCTTCTAACCGCGCCATCAATATATTTCGCCGAGACGCAGTTATGTTTCAGTCGGTCATACTACCCATTTTCCGTCCACGGAAAATTTCGTCAATGCTATAACACAAAACTAATTATGATTATACATAAATCATTTTTACTTCGGAAATGTATACACGGAGAACCTCTGATCTTTCTTTCAACCTTCTAATTCTCCCTGAAACAGTGAAACAGTCAAGCCCAGTTCAGAGCTTGAGTCACTGTTCCAATCGTGCGTAGCAGTGTAAGGCTTCATTTTATCTGCGGAACAGACACCTTGGTATATCTTCCGTATATAGTCCGTCGTGTGCCCGGAAGATCTTTTACGATATACGATATATATATCGTGTTCAAGTACTTTAGTCACAACGTAAGGACCGCTATACTTTGGGAGTAGTTTTTGCTTTTACCGTCGTTGGTGTTGCATCAGAGTTTTCGGTGGTCTGTGATGTTCATATTCTATGGTCTTGAGAGGTTAGAATGTGGGACTCTCGGCCTGGTATCTCGCGCGCTTATGTCCGAACCTCATGACGCAGATTTAATAAAGGACTTTTAGTGGAGTTCTCTTTTATTACAAAAAGCCTCCAACACGACATGGTGGCAGCTGTAAATGTGAAAAAAGTCTATACAGTTGTGAAGGGGATGTAAGCAGATGGTGGACCAGGAAAACGCCGACGTTTTTTCGACCAGGCACAACAGACGGTCAAATACCAGGTGCTGGTGATCAAACAGGCGCTGGAGGTGGTCAAGCTGGGACCGGTAGCCACGGAGGTAACGTTGTACAAAGGGGTGGCACCAACCGCGGTGCAGGTACTTCGACAATGTCAAACCAAGGTGTGCACGTGCAAGCTCCAGAAAAATTCAATTTCCGGGAACCGGGAGATTGGACAACATGGAAAAGAAGATTTGAAAGGTATTTAGCGGTAACTGGGCTTAACACCAAGCCAGACAAAGATAAAATCGACATATTGATTTATATCATGGGGCTAGAAAGCGGAAACATTATTTTGCAGTTCCCAAATCCAACAAACACATTTCAAGAAACACTGGTTGGGTTCCATCATTACTTTTTTCCTAAGAAAAATGTAGTTTTTGAAAGGGCTCGTTTCAACAGGAGAAGGCAGCAGCCCGGGGAACCAGTGGAATCTTTCATTACAGATTTGCATGTTTTATCGGAACACTGTGAATTTGTTTGTACTTGTGGCTCTACGACCATGAAAAACGATTTTATAAGAGATCGAATTGTTGACGGTATTCTAGATCAGAATCTCAGCGACAGATTGCAGCTAAAATCAGATTTAAAATTAGAAGACGCAATTTTGGAGGCCAAGCAGGCGGAAATGCTTTCACGACAAAGTAACATTTTAAGGAATGGCGAAGGCATGGGGAAAGAGGTCTGTGCCTTGGACAAGAGAAAATATTGAAGCAGCAAAGGCACCAGCGGAAAGACAGCCGGACGGGCACAAAACAAAGAAGTGACAGGATGTTATTTCTGTGGCAAGGAATCACACTCACGGGAAAAATGTCCAGCTCGGAAGGCAACTTGTTCACATTGTAAGAAGATTGGACATTGGACAAAGGTTTGCAAAAACAAAAGCGTCAGGGCAGTGGAGAAAGAATCTGAGGAATTAAATTCCGAAGAAGAAAACAACAACAAAGATGGATTTATAGGATTAATGGTAGGATCTAATCAAAATTCAGACTCAATGTCACAATGGTTTTGTAGGCTAGAAATTGAAGGGTTTTCAAATAAAATTAAGTTTTTGGTAGACTCGGGAGCCGATGTGACTTGCATGCCAGTAAATCTTATTCCAGAAAATCTTTTAAAAAAATTAAAAGCTCCGGAGGATGTCATATCGGGTCCAGATGGTCGACCTTTACATGTAATCGGTACCTTAAAGTTGGAAATCACAAATTGAGACAAAAAATCTCAACTTCAAGTATATGTTTTAAAAAATTTACAAACTCCTATTTTAGGCTGATCAGGAATAGTCGATCTAGAGATCTTAAAATTTACAGGGCAAGTGAGTCTTCAAGAGATATTACCAGATGAGAAAACAAAAGTAGATGTAATCTCTGAATTTCCTAACTTGTTTAACGGTCGGGGGGAATTCAAGGGAGAAATTGAAATTCAAATTAAGGAGGGAGTGAAACCGTTTGTTCAGGCAGCTCCTAGGGTAGTACCTTTACCACTTTTACCTAAATTAGAATCCGAACTTAAACGACTTCAGTCTTTGGGCATAATTGTACCAGTTGACGAACCAACTGCATGGGTTTCGCCCATTGTTGTAATTCCCAAAGGGAAGGGGGTTCGCTTGTGTTGCGATTATAGAAAACTAAATGAGAGCGTTTTGAGATCGCATTTTCCAATCGATAAAGTCGAGACTACTTTAGCTAAATTGGCGGGATCACGCTATTTTTCTAAATTAGATGCAAATAATGGGTTTTATCAAATCAAAATTAAAAGAGAGTGCCAAGTTTTAACAACTTTTATTACACCTTTTGGCAAATTCAAATATACTCGTTTACCTTTTGGAATTAGTTGCGCTCCTGAATACTGTAGCTTGAAATTTAACAAAATTTTAGCGGGAATAAAAGGCGTTGTTCAGCATATCGATGATATTTTGATTTATGCGAGTACAATGGCAGAACACGATAAGATATTGAGACAGATCTTGACAAAGCTTGCTAGCGAGGGAGTTACGTTGAATAAAAGTAAATGTTTCTTTGGGGTTTCAAGAATCAATTTTTTGGGTCACTGGATTTCTGAAAAAGGAATAGAAATTGAACATTCTAGAGTGGAAGCTATTTCAAAATTTCCTGAACCAACCAATCGGAAATTTTAGCTCCTTTAAATGAATTGCTAAAAAATAACATAATTGTCACTTGGAAATCAATGCAAAAAGAGGCTTTTCAGAAAATAACATCTCTACTGAAACAGGCACCTTGTTTAGCTTTTTACGATCCAAATAAAAAGATAATAGTCAGTTCAGATTCAAGTTCATATGGCTTAGGTGCAGCACTTTTTCAGGCTGACGACTCGGGAAATAAAGAAATTGTGGCATATGCATCCAGAACTCTTACGCAGAGTGAGGAACGCTATGCGCAAATTGAAAAAGAATGCTTGGGATTAACTTGGGCATGTGAGAAATTTAGGGAGTATATTTTGGGACTTCCAAAAATATATTTAGAAACAGACCACAAACCGTTAATTCAGATTTTGTCTACAAAAAATTTAGACGATCTAACCCCCCGATTACAGCGTTTCAGAATTCGATTAATGCGATATACTTATATTGTTATCTATACACCGGGTAAAGATTTGACTGTGCCTGATGCGTTAAGTCGCAATCCTCTGAAGTATACCGAACCAGATGAGTTGCGAAGTGAAGTCGAGACACATGTTTCTATGACAATAAAAAATTTACCAATTAAAGACAAACTTTTAAAACTTATCGCGGAGGAACAAAGGAAAGATCCAGTTTGTAAAAAATTGATCGAGTACTCCTCTACGAGTTGGCCTGAAAAACATCAACTTTCACCCGATTTGACTTTTTATTATCAATTTAGAAATGACATTTCCATGAATGAAAATTTCTTACTCAAGGGTACGCGTATAATCATTCCACCCACACTGCAAACACAAGTTTTGGATTTTATTCATTTAGGCCATCAGGGCATAACGAAATGCAGAGAGAGAGCAAAAATGAGTGTTTGGTGGGTAGGCCTTTCTACACAAATCGAAATTTTAGTAAAAAATTTTCCAAATTGCATTGAAGAGAGAATTAATATTAAAGAACCGTTTCAAAAAGATACAAATGTCACAACTCGACCCTGGCAAAAAATTTGTGTTGATCTGTATAAATGTCACGAAGTTTGGTATTTAACAATAATAGATTATTATTCT